GCTTCGCTGGATTCAGAAGAAATTCAGATGAAAACGAAGCAATTCAGGAGCATTCAGGAGTGCTGCAATATTTTGATGAAAATTCAGAAAAAAGGAGCAAAACTGTCCGATGATGAATTGCTTTTTAGAAGCAAAGGCATTTCCACTCGGGTACAGTTTTCCAAACATATGCAAATTAATGAATCAACAATATCAAACGTGGAACTTAATAGGGGATCATTTGCAACCAAAGCCGAAATGTCCATTGAATATGCCGTCTATCAAAATTTGAAACGCCACTATCGACTTTGATTCCATTTCTCGTCTACCGCTTGATGGCTACACATGGGTTAATTCATTCAAATTATTCAAGCCCATTTCTCACGTCCGGCATAAAAAACAATTGCTGTTTTGCTCAATCAGCGAAGCGACTATTACAAAACGCCAGCGACGTCAACGGTGAAAGTGAACGCCTGCGGTGATTTGCTAAATGTTCATTCAATGTATTCTGGGTGGATCGACATCAATGTATATAATTAGTCAATACTGTTTTTGTCAAGTGGCCTTATCACTCACTCAAAATCTGTTCAAAGGAAAAATGCATTCTTCACATGAACAAATTTGGAGTGATTTATGGCCATGAAAATGAGTTTTATGTAAAACGATTAAAATAAAGTCGATCATTACTGAAAATTTAGGCGATTTTGTTGTGTAAATCACCTAGGTTAATGTGAATAAAATTGACGATTAAATCCACGTACAAATTTAATGTTCGAGTTTTTAAATTAACGGAAATGGTAAATTGCGATGCAAAGTTCCACTCCGGAATAAAAGTGTTGAATCGATATGAAATATCGACACAATCAATGTGGTTTTCACGTGTGTAAAAAACACCTGGTGCAGGCTATTTCAATCGAAATGCAGCTTCATGGATACCACATCATTTTCGTCGCAATTTTATATCTCCAGTTTATTGGAAAGTTTATTAAAGGGTTTAGTTTCCAAACGAAAACCATAAAACTGAACAGTTTTTCGGAATGTCCTGAAGAAGAAGACACGGTCATTCATTATAATGGTACCATCACCAAAGCGTCACGAAACAAATATACCGTAAATGGTGAAATCACCTTGAACGAAACTGTGGCTGGACCAATCGAGGTATTTTGTTGAAAAAGCTCATTGATTTCTCCTCTTTCATTGATGAAATCCTCTTTTCATCATTGAGTGGTTGAGAAAAATCATAATTTTGCAATTGCAATTCAATCAAAAGGAATATACAATTCCAAATAATCTTCAAAACTTTTATTTTATCTCAATGAAAAATTGTTAGAAATTTGTGTGATTTTCAGTTTTTTTTCACTTCAAGTTTTGAAAAAACAAAACTCTTCACTTTTCAGTTCTACCTCAAAACGATTAAATGCAATTTTGCAATGACCAACTGTGAAACGTACGACACAATCATCGTGCGCGATCTTTGCAAAACTCTGGATACGAAAAATCAAATGTGGAGTGATTTCATCGAACGTTCCCAGCCGAAAATTAAATGTCCATTACAGCCGCCGTTAATCAGAACGATGAATTCAACTGTGGATCTGGGTTTGATTAGCCATCTACCCATTGATGGTTACAATTGGCTCATTGCACTCAAACTGTTCAAGTCAATTGCCAACAATCGACACAAAAAGACATTGTTATTCTGCATAATTTGCGAGGCAACAATCACAAAAACTCGAGAACGTGGCAGGAAATAACGTTCATTAAAAGCGGCTTATTTGCAAACTTCAACAGATTTAAGGGAAAAGCATTTTCCCCAAGAAACAAAAACAGAATACTTTCCGTTTGGAATATTCATTGAAAAACGACGTGTGCTTTAGATATGTAGGGAATTTCATTCTAGGCTATAAATATAAATAACACAATAATTTCATTATTTCCTACCTTGTACGATGAGCGATCCGAGTGCTGCCGCTTCGCCTGCCGAACAATACAGGCGACCGTGTATTAGATCCCGTTTCAGCTGTTGATAAATCAATATTTTTGAATTGCCCGTCAAGCGAAATGGATCAGCGGGGAAAAATTTCACGCGGAACGAGAACACAATCGGCTCAACATCTGAAATAGGAAATTCAAATTGAATATACATTTTGAACTGGTATGAGGGTTATAAAAATAAATATGTTTATTGCACAAGTACCTTTAACTTGCTTGAGTATCGATTTTGATAGATCTAACCAATGCTGCAAAGAAACAAGTTGGAGAACAAAACACATACACAATAAAAAAAAATGCCGTTAAATTGCATTTGCAAACAGTGGAAAAAAGAGAGAATACTTTGGTAAGGGTGACTTACTCGTTGTCTTGTTATATCCACGAAACGAAGGCCGAAATAGTCCTTCTCCTTGACAGACATTTGTTCGCAAACATAATCCAAGAGATAGCATCCTTTGTGATTTGGCTATCCATTTTCCGAAAATAGAACGAACGAAACAATAAATATCACTTAAAACGCTCGAGAGATAGACGTGGTCCGTAGTTTATGTACTGTACATGCGGCTACGGGGTTATTTATCCATCACAGAGGAAGGAAAACAAATTGAAATTGAATACTAATGAGACGACCGATTAGTATTATGTGAGTTGCGACGCGCGGTGTGTCCTATTTTTACGAGCACACTTCATCGAGCACCACACTTCACCGAAAACCGTCTACATGTGTTTTCCTTTAATACTTGCTCAAGTGACGTGCGTGTTTAATAGCCATCAAATGTCAAGTGATATGAAGAGAGAGCGAGAGCAAGTGAGAGAACGAGAAAAGACGATAAACTGAAATCGTATTTCGGTTTTATTGTGTAATGCTCCCCCCCGCGCGCGTTTGCAATACAAAACGGCCGCCTCAAAGCAGAGTGAACAATATAAGGCGACTCAGCCTTGCTAACCATATCAAAACGACAGCGACAGAAGACAAAAAAAAAAATCGATGTCACAGTTAATCAATAATTAGATCACAAGTCAAACTTGGAGTCCATTCGTCAAACTCTTCGTCATTCGTTTTTGTTTTCCTTTTTTTCTGGATCGCAGACCTTGAAAGCGATGACATACCTGAAATTCACACTCGAGCACATCTAACTCTTCTAACAAGCGTACGGTGCACTTGAAAACGACACTTCCTTCCGTTCGACTTTTGAACATCACGGCAATCCAACAGTATTTTGCTCAAAAACCAACCGACACAATTTCATTTACCTTCACTATCCGCAGAAATCGAATAACACATTTTCTGTTTCGTCGTCAATTTTTTCGAAACCTCAACACTTTCGACATTTTTGCTTTCATCCTTTCAACTTAAATGGAACCTTTCAACTTTTCGTTTGCTCTTTTGGTTTCTCGAAATTTCCTCGCAAATTATTCCGTCACTTCATCACCACTAGGAAACTGTGTGCACCGAGAAACTTTTTTTTTGTGTGAGTGAAACACCGAAATGAAATTTCAAAACTAAATAATTGATGACACGAAATGAAATTCACGAAAATTCATCGATTCATGCCACTTTATTTGTGTCAAACGAAAAACTCCGCTAAATCAAGACAAAAATTAAAATTGAAAATTTTTCTATTTTTATGCGATGGCTAATTTTCCACCTAATAAATTATTGCCGCTGATTTTATTCCAAAGTCTTTTCCTTTCTTTCGCTCGCCTTCTGGCGATACATAAATGTGTATCGTTTTTGGGTCTGTGTACTTTCCTACTGACTGACACTTTCGCTTTATCGAAACTGTTTTTATATTATTACTCCTAAAACTATGCTTTTCGACGACAACTCAGGCTGAAATCAGAGCCCCACTCAGAGAGCGAGAGAGAGAGAGATAGAGAGAGAGAGAGAGTATTTAACGAGCTTTCGCTCACCAAATGCGCATGTATGTGTTTGTTGTCATACCTCTAGATAGTCGCGTGTATATTTACCATTCCCATAGCAGCAGCAGTCGAAGATGACAGCTCCACATTGTACGCACACAAGTACAATGTAGACAGCCAGTCAAATACATGGGAGACAGTCTTTAGCAGCAATACCAAATGTTTTCATCCAGCATATTCGGCGCGATTTATTCAAAATGTTTAAAATGATGGACGAAAAATAGTAAAAAAAAATATTTCCCTTGTAAATAACCATATTTCTCAAAACCGATACAAATTTGATGTTTTTTTTGGTGATTTCATTTCTTTTTCTTTCGATGAAGCATTTAATTTGATTTGTGTTTGATAGAAAAATATTATTTTTCCAAAAAATAATCATTTAATGATGGAAAAAATTACTTGAAATGGAACTACTTCCTAAATGACCAAAAGTCTTTTCAAATAATTCGTCATTTTGTCGATCCAAATGTGTTTTTCCATTGCGGAATCCACATGAAAATGTTTTTCCACCATTTAAAAAGCCATAAAACTATTTTCTTTTTTATGATGATTAACACCCATAAACTCATGATGAAGAGAGAGAAAAAATTAACAACATTTTTACTGTCCATAAAGCTTTGTTTTTTTTTTATTAAATTAATTAGTCTTTAAATTCGGAGTGAGTCGATAGAATATTTTATAACATTTTTTCTCCATAACGGTTTGTTTGTGTTGAAGATTGATGAAGCTTTAGTAAATATTAAATACAGCGACTAGTTCAAAAAATGAATGATAGCTTAAAAAAAAATAAATAGTAATGCTTGTACGTGTTTAGTTGAAAAAAGTTATTTTGGCATCGTTTTCCGCAGCAAAATTGATTTAGCACCATGCGCGAAGTAAGGTATTTGTTGAACGACGTTTATAACATTTGTAAATAGAATGATTGACATTTAAATTACAGTGAAAGAACAAAGAATATAAATATGTACATATCTACCACCAACAGGTGGTATTGTGTGCAAGCAGTATGTATTATATAAACAATTGGTTCCTTGTGTAATCAAGGAATAAAAAAAAACTTTTGAAACTCGTCATTTTTATTGCTGCAGTTTCTTCAAGTCGTTCTAATATATCGCAAAACGAAGCGGGAAACTAAATTTGCCGTTTAGCAAGTGATTCGGTTAAGTTGTTTTACGTGTGCCCGATTCAAAGTACGTCGTTCTTCCAAATATTCAACAACACTAGTGAAATTTTGCTGTCGCGCTACTTGCAAAGCAGTGCATCCATTTTGATTTTTCCATGCAGTATCGCTGCCAGCCGCAACTAATTGTTTCACCACATCGAGGTGACCGAACATCGCTGCAGCGTGTAATGCTGTTTCTCCATTCTGCGAATAAAAAGCAAAAAAAAACACATTTAATGAGCGGTGATGAAGCGAATACTATCGTAATGGTGATACGATTGAGGGTTTGTAATTACCGGTAATAAGTACAAATTTGGCTTGTATTTCAACAGCTCGTGCACAACGGCCGAAAACCCTTTATGCGCTGCCTTGAACAATGGCGTTGCACCGTCCTATACACAAATACGAAACAAATTATCAAAACATTTCAATTATTTCATTTCATCGACATCATCGTTGTTGTTGTTGTTTCCGTTTGCCAAATGCGGAAATAATTTAAACTCACACAACGAACGGCATCAACACGTGCACCATTTTTCAATAAGACACGAACAATGTGATCGTGACCCATTTGAGCGGCAATCCACAAAGGACTGGCGCCGTCAATTCGACATATATTCGGGTCACCGCCCTCCGCAAGCAATGTTAGCAACACAGCACGATGTCCATTTTGCGATGCAATGAATATCGGTGTGGCTCGATCCTGTGAAATACAAATCAAAATATGGATAATTGATCAAATCGACAGTTTATTGCGCTTTGCGCACATGGAAATTTGATTCCATCAGAGAAAATTTGAAATTGCATCAATTATAACGTGTGTAGAACGGAAATGTTTATGTGCAACACAAAATGTGCCATTTCCGAAGCAATTTTCAAATTGAAATTAAAGGAAAACCAAAACAAAGAATTCATTCTGCAAGAAAGTTTTCTTCTTTACCTTCATAGTAACATGAACATTGGCACCAAGAGCTATTAAGTCTTTTACCATATCGATGTGTCCTCCTTGGCATGCTACAAACAATGGCGTTCCACCATCCTGAAAATAATATTAAAAACTTTCATTAAAAATGGATAAAACACCACTCATGAAACTAAATTCGGAGTAGGTTATTCGGTACTCTATTGCATAATACGACTATAAATAGCAATTTAGTTTTAGTCTGATGCAAATTGCCATTTTCTGTGTCCAATTACGACGAAATAGTTCTTCTAAAAATAGTCGTCTAACTAAAAATGTCAACTCATGGCAGCAAAAACCTAAATTCACATTTGACAAATAGGAAAAAGTCCAAGAACTTACGAGAGATGCCCCATCGATGCGAGCACCATATCGGATAAGAATTTTGGCCACATCAATATAACCGGCTTGAGCAGCGAAGAAGAGAGCTGTTGTTCCCGTCTGAAACAAAGATGTTTTTAAGTCAAACAGAAAGAACCAAAAAAGAAAATGTGTTCGAATGAAATGTGAAGAGTAGCAGAATCTGCAAAGTAAAAATCGAAAATGGTTGAAAATATGCCTTACAATTCGACGTGCATTTGGATTAGCGCCTTGATCCAGCAGCTCAGAAACACATGCCGCATGGCCACCAGCAGCAGCTAAAATTAATGGTGTTGTTGAATCCTATAAAATCAAAGAGAGACCAATTCAATTCAAATTACATCTATTCAAATAGTAAATAAACAGCGAAAAAAATGTTCTAATGCGTGCTCCGCGCAGATTTCTATTCGAAAGTGTAAATTAACAAATTCCGCTGAATTTCACAGCTCAACAATCTTTTAACTCTATTAATTTCAGACGTATTTAAACAATCATCATCATCATCATCGCCACATCTGTTTACGATAGTCGTCGGCAAAATAAAGAAGTAGTTCAATAAAGTAATTCACACTATGAATGAAACATTTTTTGACGCCTATAAATTGATGTATTCTATCGCATAATTGAAATTTTTGACCAGCAGCACGTTTGCCGCATTCGTTTTTCGTACATTTCTTTCGTTCCGTGCATCCGTTCCATGCCAAAGAGAGACACGCGTATGAATACAAGTAGGGGACATTGCTGCAGGTTGAGAATTGCTGCAGGTTGAGAATCGTTACTTTTTTTCACTATACGTGATCATATCGCCATCGGAATAGTTTTGAAAATCTAATTTTGAGGCCTGTTCTTTTTTAAAAATTGTTCCGACAGAACTGGCGTTTGTTTTGATACACTTCCAATACGCCCATGAATTTTTGTGCGAAAACTTGTCATTTTAGTTATTGCCGAATGTCATAAAGTGACTATTTTGCATTGAAAAAAGAGTCGGGCAACCTTTTTTTTGTAGTATTTTCATTTCTCTTTACGATTCAACAAGAATTATGTGCATTTTGTGATGTTGAAAAAAAATTGCGAGTCTCGGTAAAAATATCTATAAAACTGCAGGTTGAGAAAGTGACTTTTTTGCAGGTTGAAAAAAGATATTTTTTACAATATAAAAGATTTTATTGTTTTTCTCGTTTATGAATCATTATTGAAGAGTAAATAAGTCATTTAAGATGACTTTTTTTCGAAAATTCATTTATTTAATCAAATTTATGATTGGACTACCATTCAGGAAATGGACAACGAATCTGATGAATTAGAGTAATTTTTGGGCTCCAAATTGCTTTATAGAGCAATAAAATCATCATAACATTGAAAGTATATCATATTTTTATAGTTTTTTTACATTTTAAATAACAATTTTGAAAATTCTCAACCTGCAGCAAAAAATTTTTTTTCGCCATTTTCAGCACCTTCGTAAATTTGACCATAAATTTTGTTTTTGAAAAGCAATTGCATATGTTTCTTAAGCAAAATTATAGCTCAAGACATTATCTATCCAACGATACCTTAATCTTCTCTAATTGTTCACTCCTGACAAAGTTATGACCAAAACAAATAGTGGTAGCCAACCTGCAGCAATGTCCCCTAGTAATTAAGTTGTGTTTCAGTCACTAGACAAATACGCTTATAATTTTATTAAAATGCCGCAATTTGATTACTAGCTAGATATTAAATATGAAGCAGCCGAAGGGGGAAACGTAATTGATTCGCTTGAAATGAAACCATTTAAATGCATACCGGAACAGTGATTTTAACACCACTTCATTGGTTCCTTCTCACTGGATTAGAAAAAAAAGAGATTTGAATGCGCAATCATCAATTTTTTCTGATTGAAAAGAGATTAGAAGTAGAAGAAGTAGAAAATGCTTAACCCAATTCCAGCACCGAATTTTCACTTTCAAAAAGTGTTTTGAAAAAAATTCTTTGTTTTGATTGAAGAAGATTAACAAAATAAGTCAATTAAATTGGATAAAATCAACAACAACAACAAATCGGTCGGTTAAAATCATGATTTTTTTAAATGCATGTGTCGTAATTTCACTGTTCTACCTTCGAGTTAAAAATTGCGGTTTACATTCCAAACACATTTAATCCACATGCTTGCTTTTAATTCGATTTTTCTCTCCCCCCTCTCGACCAATCGACCTTAATTTGACATAAAGCCTATTAGAGAAACAGATTATGTTGAAAATAACTCTCCCAACCCATGTGCACTTGGTGAGAGATTAGATGTGGGCCACTTACCTCATCGATGCAATCGACATGCACACGACCACTATCCAAAAGTTTACGCAACGTTACATCATCTCCCCGAATCGCAGCTAGATGCAACTGGATATCATGCGGTGATTCTTTCTATAACAAGACAGAGTTAATTCCAAACCAGATGCATTAATATCGGATATGCTAATGCTTTATTGAGATTGCACATGAGCTAGTATTTAGTTCATTATTCTCGAATAGCAACATGAATACGAAATGCAGTTTCTCTCTGAACTGGAAATAGAAACGGTTTTGTTTTTCGACAGGTGATGGAAATTATTGAATAGAAATCGCTCGGTTGGTTTGACTTTTACCGCTACATTTCTAATTAGCGTTCGATTGGTACCGATCGATATATAACGAATGAAATAATTTATCAACGCATAATTGGCGCTGAAAGTGAATGAAACAATTGATTATTGCATGTTGCTCATATTTGTAAGTGCCGATGAAAGTTGAAACTATTTTTATTAAATTAATTCATTTCTCTTTTTTTTTCTTTTGTACGCGATCGCGCTCGCGCGCACCTCCATAATAAAATAGAAGTTTGCATGCTAGAGCATTGCAACGAGCCTGGCAAAAAGAAAGGTTAATGATTACACAAACATTACTTAGATAACTTATTTCTCTTATGGGAATCTCAGCATAACAAGTTTTTCAACTTGACTTTTTTTTTACTCCAATTATTTATCTACAAGTGCCAGTGCGAGGCGTCTGCATACGAAGAAGAGTCAAACACGTTCATTCGACTAATGTTGCGGCCGATGCGCGCGATATTTAACACAACTCATGAAGTGTGGCTTTTCGTGTACTTGAATAGCAAATACGAAAAAAACAAACAAAAAAAATCGTTAATTGAACTTTTTAGCAAAAAAGCAAAAGCAACAAAACCAAAAAGAATTGTAAACATTGCCGGTATTTATTTTGTAGGAAAAGCAAACATGTGTGTTACGCGTCGACTTGAAAGACCCATCAAAATTAACAACAAAAGATAATAACAAACATGTTTGAAAATTAACAGAAGAACTTGAAATAGGCCTTTATCTGCACAATCTTTCTCTATGGCTGTGTATATTTGATTGTAACATTTTAGTCGACTGCAGACCAAGCAACGTATTCGAACTCGTTCCAGCTCCCGATTTTGGATGAATTAACATGATTCTTTGAGCAAAATCGTGGTCCAAATCAAAAAATCACAATTAAACTACTTTAAACCGAAAAAAATCAACTAGAAACTGAACAAAAACTCGCTCTGTGCGTTCGACATATCTGCCGTTTGTGTATGGATTTGGGGCAATGTTTTAATCTTATCGCAGATGCAAATCTCATCGTGAAGTGGATCTGCAGGTGCAAGATTTTCCATGAAATTAAATTCAATCCAACTCACCTTCAATGACATTTGATATTCTTACTTTTCGTCCAAACCACAACAATCCGTCAAAACGAAGAAAACCGTCCGGAACTCAACGATTAACTATAAAAATGCAAATAAAAAAAACCTACGTCAAAATATTGTCCAATTTAAACGAATCGTTTTCCTTAAAATCCAAAACCAATACGTCCGATTTGGCTAAATCAAAAAGCACTAATGACCGATTCGCCGATTACAAAGCGTTTGTCGAGCGATTAATTGTATGCAAATTGCCAACTGCGAATAAAATATTCAACAGTCAAGTTCGGCGAAACGCTTTTTTCCCGCTCCACAATAATAGTAGACAAGCATTTTTCGCGCAAGTCTCGAAAAATGCCACTTTTTATGATCTATTTTTAAATATTTTTCGTTTTGCGATATCGATTGCGTCATTAATTTCACAGTATGCAACTAAACACTTTGGAACAATATATGGTAGCAATTGTGCTGAATTGACTTGTTAAAACGTGAAAAAAACCACGTCAAGAAAACAAAAACACGCATCGAAAAAGTTCGTGAACAATGTGCTGTTTATTAGAAAAAATATGTAGATTAGCTCGTTTTGTTAGGTTCACCCACGATAGAATGGGAAATGGTTTACAGCATTTGAATTCAGTGTCAACATTATTAAGCTGTTTAACATACGTTTGATATACCATACGAACGCGATTTTAGATTATGCAATTGTATTGACCGTTTGATATTTACCGCACGCGGTTTATATAATTCGTGAATGAATTCGCTTATATTGTTCTTGTTTTTCGACTCGTGGCCACCAATTTGTTTGCGATAAATTTTTCCTCTCTATGGTGAGGCTGAATTGAAATGAGATGCGATGTGTGAGTATAATGTTCGCGCGCCAAGAATACGCTATAAACTGAATCGATCGACCAAATGCATGATCATAATGTAGTAGAGTCGACGGCGTAGTGTAGTATAGAGCAAACAAAAACCGAGCGAAGGCGTCTCTGTGATCACTGACGTCGTGTGTTGGCAAACAAATAGCGGTTTGTATTTGGATCGATAGAGCGAACAGACGAACATATGATTAAAACCGATAACGACTTCACTCGGTTAATTGAAAAAAAGAAGAAGAAACAACAAACCGAAGAACGTTTGTTTTGCTTTGTATCTCTTCGTTGCATACTCGCTATCTCTGTCTCCGTCTTAATCTCCCTGTGTCTCACCTGAAGCAAGCAACGCACATCAACTGCACTCAATTCGGCCCGAAAACGACTCATTCCTCAACGACTCATTCCTCGGCAACCACGACGATGACGACGACTTCTTCCTTCTGTTGCACAAGAGATGTTTCTTATAATTGCGATAATTTGAGCAATTTTCTTTCAGTCCGTTACATTTGCACTTTGTTTCTGTCTTTCTATCCGCAGTCTCTTTGAGTCAATGCTCAACCCGTGGTGCTACTTATTCACGTCAAATATGTGATGGAATGCTGCTGTGCGTCTTGTTTCCATTTTCGTCGATACACACCGTATTTAGAGAAGAAAAAAAAGAACACACTTGTCCAATTCGTATGATGAATTATTCAGCAAATGGAACTCGTTGCGGAAAAAAATGGAAATGTATTACACTCAAACACATCCATGGAAACATTAGAACAATTACGGTTCTGGCGAACTACTTTCATTATATAACGGAGTTTAAATGCACTATGCAACCCAGATTTTTGTTTTTCTACTCAAACTCGAATTCTTAATATTTAAATAGAAAAACAGTTGATTCAATGCACAATTCTACACAGAATTATAAATAATCCGCACTGAGTTTACATGTAGTGAAAGTTGAGATCAATGCTCTGCGTCGCATCATCTTCACTATTGTGCAATGTTTCGTTTACAATTTCATTGAGCCCTTTCATTGTTTTGATTTACAATTTGACACATTGACACTCACTCAAGCAACGCACTTGCTTTGACTGTCAAGTTCATGCGATAATTCGACTCGAATTTCAATGTTTCAATGTAGGAAATGATTTTGAAGTTGTCAATTGCTTAGGACACAAAAAATTGATAAATTATAATTTATTCGCTTTTTTATTCTTTGAACATTTTTTTAAAAATTTAAATATTTGTTCTTATTTAAACTCCAAGAAGAATGAATTCATGTGAAACGACCACTGCCACACAACTGTGCAGCCAACCTAATAATTTCGAATACGAAAACAAATGTTCGTTCTCGGTTTTGACAGTTGGCATTGCCTTGTGTCAATCGCTATCAACTTTCTTTCTTTTGTAATCGCCATTACAGTGCTGTCGCTTTGATTCCAAGCTCTACAGAAAAAAGTAAGAAATTTTCAATTAATTTCGATTTTCCTCTCGTTTTGACCGACTAAATAAATACCGTTTCTATTGCAGCAAATCAAAAATGGAAAACGATACTGGAGATTTCGTTGACTTGTACTGCCCACGAAAATGGTAAGTTACTTCGCTGTGCGTCCACGTGCATATGAGCCGAATCGAATGAAACGTGATGAAAAGTGTTCTGTTTTTTTTCTCCATTGATTGATGATTTCGTTTCGTTATTGAAAGATCAATTTTTCACAGTTGAGAGTGAAATTTCAGATTTTTTTTTCACGATTTTGAACAGAATATCCAATTTTTGAGAAAACATAACCTCAAACTGTTCGTGTATCATGTTTTGTTAGTTCGGCTCTTTGTGCCAAAAAAAGCCGGAATATTTTCATATTTTCAGTTCCTAATTTCTTTTTTGTTCGATTTTTTACATATGTAGCTCGGCCAGTAACCGTATCATCCACGCCAAGGACCATGCTTCAGTCCAACTTAACATTGCTGAAGTCGATCCAAACACTGGTATCGCAACAGGCACATCAAAAGCATACGCTATCTGCGGTGCCATCCGTGGCATGGGCGAATCAGATGATTGCATCGCCCGTTTGGCTAAACGCGATGGAATCCTTACCAAGTAAGTAGAATAAATACGGTTTCATGTCTTTTTTTCTCTCTTCGTTTTTAGCCCTTTCCATTCCTTGTTCTTCCTTTTTTTCATTTCTAACGATTGAAGTAAAAAAATCTTCATTTCATTTGGTGCCCACAATTAATGCATTTGTTTTCTTCTTGTCTCGTTTCAGGAACTACTAATTAATTTTTATCTACCCAACATCCAGATGTTATTAAAATATTCGATCAATTTTGATTGAGGAATAAAAATTAATTAAGAAATTGCAATTTCTCGTCGTGTTTCTTTTTTACATTTAGAATTGATTTGAGAATTACAATTTTTAGGTCACTTTTTTATTGTTGCTTATTTTGAAAGTATTTTCAGCTTAAGGTTTGTATTTCTCTGGAAAATGAAACATTTTAAATCGATTTCATGAAATGTCGATTCGAAAAAATGCAAATCTATTATTACAAATTGCAATAAATCGTCTCAATTTGAGACTCTAAAAAATGTGTCATAAAAACTAAAAAAAAATGCCATTAATCAAATTGGTCGCTGAACTAAACGCATCCATCGAGACTTTTGATATTCGAACATGTAATTACTCATCATAACAATGTCATAGTAAATTCGAAAATTTCGAACATGGTAGTTGTGAAATTCTACGCTCACACATGAATGCAATTAGCGTATACACATCATAACGCACACACACACAGTCACACAATAATGGACAAAGGCGAAAAAATACACATATTTGCTCAGCTCATGCCAAACAAAGTGGTACTAGATTTGCGCTTTATTTTGTTGCACCACTGATCCGAGCCAAAAAGAACTCACTGTTTCATGAGAGCTATTGAAAGAGAGAGCGAGAGAAACCAGTCGAACATAAAAAAAGACAATCTGATTTCTTGCACACACATTTTTATTTCCATCTACTTGAATAATTAACCACACGAAAAAAAAACGCCAAATGTCTTTATTACGAGCGATTTCGTTGTAGTTGTGTCTGTGTCCGCCATTTAATAAACTTGAAAAATAAACAATAATACGTTCGATTTTGGGGTCTTTGAGTCGCAATATCATTAAAATTCGGTGTGTTCATACCGAAAACCCATAAAAATTGAAAGAAAAAAACGTGTGTATCGTATTGTTTTGAATGTGTCTACATTTTGTACTTGAATTTTGGATTCGCCATTCGGATTCATTGGGCAATTTCAGGCGAAAATGGATAATGTGATCATCTTGCTTTCTTCGGATGAAGAGGTTTGTTTTCCAGTTTAAAAATCGATTGACTTTTTTTTTGAAATTTTTTCTTTATTCATGTTTACTATGACTTAGTGACTACTGCGCCATGAGTGTCGGACTTTTTTGTTGTTCGCCTCTCGTTATTGAACGTTGCCTCCATTTCTAATCTATGCATTTGTGTACAGCAGTTGTACTACGGCGATATAAATAATTTTGTTATTGTGATATTCAAACCGCGCTCAAAACGCCTCTTTAAACATGTTTACATTTTGTTCTGTTTTTCTTCACAGTTTCCACATTTATTAATATCGATCGAAATTCGTTGGCGAATCACAACCGAACTATTTAGTTTACTTTGTTTTTGGTTATATAATTTTGAAAGATTGGTAAATCGCTGTGAAGGTGTGACATTTGCGCCAAGTTGTCAAAAGACCGCTATGTTTATGTTTGTTTTGCCTCGTATTTTGTCCGCGTTTTTTTTTGAAACTCATGGAATTGTGTGCTGATTTGTTTTCTCATTTCTTTCTAATTGTTCTAGGATAACGATGGAGGTGTAACAGATAAAATCAGGCAGAACAAAAATATTGTAATCAAAAAGGTGAGAGCATCGAGTGTGCCGCAAAATGTGAAGAACATTCCGATGCAAAAAGTCAGTTTGCAAAAACTTACAACGCCAATTGTGCACCAGAAAAACACCAACATCAACACCAAACCAGTCACAGTGATACAGGCTTTTAGGCAACAGAATCAACAGCCAGCATCAGTGCCGAATCGTCAACAAGCACCGGTGCTGCTGAAGAGTCAACAATCGCCGCTGTTGTCGCACAAACAATCATCACAATTGTTAATCAGCACGGTACCGTCAAAGGATGGAAAACCCGTTGCCAAAAAGCCAACGCCAAGCCTTTCGTCAGGTATCACAATCACGCCGGTCAAGCTGAGTACCGTTATTGCGACAAATCATGGCAATTCCACGGTGTCCAATATGGGTACGGTTACAATCACACCAAGAACTGATAAGGTGACCATTGTGCCGAAACCAACGGTGTCGACTGTCAAATCAACCGTGAAATCAATTCATGTAGCCATATCGAAACCAGCAAAACGACGAGTCGTACCGATCAAAATCTCGGATGCAGTCACAATGCGAGCGAGTAGCATGGAGAAAAGCAGTGATTCGGACATGCTGAGTCGTGATAGTTCGTCGATAGCAAACGATGAAGTCGTTCCGATCAATCAAGCTAACGGTACAAATAAACCCGAAGAATACGAACCAACAGCCAAACGACCGAGAGTCGTCGAAAATGCAAAGAGGCCAATGCACGAAGACTACATTCGCTTGATTGAAGTATGCAAGAGTGCTGATCCAACGCAGGATATGAACAAAATCGTTACGAAATTGGAAAAATACTATTACCGAGCACACGCGGATTACGTGAATTCAAAAAGTTTTCACAGATTGGTTGAGGGTGTGACAAGCGAAATTGAAGCACAACCTAAGTTGGTCTATATGAAGATTAACAATTTGTTGGGGGAATTGAAAACCAGAAAGCCAATGGAGAGTGTTGCTGTGGCCACAGAAGAAAACACCAAAATGAGTGAAGCCGATGAGAAAAAAGCGAAACAAATCGAGAAGCTCAGCGGTGCACTGCGATCTTTACAATTTAAAATTCGAAAATGTGAAGAAGCTGAAGTGGATTGGGAGGACGAGATCAATTCAAAATACTGTCTGACAGAACGGTACAAGCAGAGAGCCTGCGAGATTTACAATAAACTGTGCGATCTCACCGGTGAAAGCCGAAATGCCGAACGGATTTCCAAGAAACCAATCAAATTCAAAGGTATCGGAATTACGCGGAAATACCCGGAATTCAATCGCAAACTGGAAAAATTCATCAATGAAACCAAGTCATTTCCCGACATGTTTGACGTGCTGCGGATTATCGACCATTGCAGTGAACGCTATCATTATCGTATGAGCGTCACAGATCGCAAAACAATTGGTAAACAAACGAGTTTGAAATTATCCAGACCTAACTCAGATTCAGGATGTATTGTAGAAAAGAGATTTATGAGTATTTCAACAAATTTTGAACAAAAACACATTTTCCATTCGATTTATAGCTCAAGAGGCCTTCATGGAAGTGGGAACATTGTTACAAAAACGCCGCAAAGCCGATTTGTATGAAATGGTGCAATATTTCGCAGCGAATCACAATGATCCAGCTAGCGACGATCCATTGTTGAAGTCAAAACTGGAAGAGAGTCAACGGCATTACAACAAACGAATGAAAGAAGTGATTGCAAAGTGAGTTTACAGTTATGAGAATGAGAAAAAAAAATGTTTCGCCAATGAAGAGAGACTCTAATTGTATCCAATACTCTTCTAATTTTAGGTTCACAATGGATCCCAACGACAGTGAAGTGAATGAAGAAAAAGATTCACCGGTCAAAGCAAAAGAGAAACCAAAAACGAGTGTGGTCAAAGTTTCAACATCGCCACCAACGTCAGCACATCCGATCGAACCAACGTTAGAGCCACCAGAACTGAATATCAACGCAGAGATTGATCTGCTGAACGATTCCGTTACGTCCATATCGGACAGTGGTGAATTCAATGACATCTCAAAAACCGATTCGATACTGACCGACGAGCAAGATGTTGTCCATGAGCTAGAACGAGAGTTCTTGCCCACCATAACGAGTGTGACATCGCTGCATCCGAACGAATTCAACGATCTGATGAATTTCGAATTGACGCCGTCGAACCAAATGGAGAGTATGGAAATTTCATAGCCATGTCGTTGCTAGCTTTTTCCACCGTCGCACACACTCAGCCATGTGATTAAAATATAGATATCATCCCAACTCATTATTACCAAATGCCATACCGTCGGTTTCGATTACAAACCGAACACACAACAGAACGAAACGAAACAAAAACTAAGCTTATCATTTTTTTTCTCGGCAGTTTCGTTTGCTACATATATTCATTTCGTTTAACACCATTTTAAATGTATTTGTGAAATTTGGAAATAGTTGCGAAATTGCAGTTTGAGCTGAAAAGGGTTGTTAAATGTTAGTAATAAGTCTCTTTGTTACTATATTTATTCTGTCACGAATTTATAACTAAGTACATTTTGCAGAGAAACAGAACAAATCAAATTGCGTTACGTTAAAAGAAAAATAAACCAATCAGGAAGAGGTTAAAACTCGTATCGGCGAATCTAGTTCTAATTTTTTTTTTGGTTTATTTGATTTCACCGTTAGAGAGAGCGAGATAAAAAGCCGTGTAAATCTCTTTGCGATTTTTCGTAAGAGTGTTAAACTCTTCCATATTTTGCTTAAGATTCATTGCTTCCTTTATGCTGTATTTCCGTGTATTTCACATCTAGTTATCGAATTCTTATGAACAGACAAAACATACACACATAAACATTCTCTTTTTTTTGTGCAAAATCCAAGCTAAACTATTGGTTATATATTTGATGAGAGAATAAATAAGAAGAAGAAAAATTCCTCTGTAAAAATCAAAATGATAGCATACATAAGAAGAAAAAGTAAATAAATAAGAAGATAACGGTACGAATAAATTCAAGAAAATAAAATGTAAATATATTTTCAGAAGAAAAAAAAAACATTCATAATAAATGAACTGAAATCATATCATCATTGAGAATTATTTTCATTCTTATCGAATTATGTAGCCGTGCAAGATGAAACCGCTGTTTCCGTTCATGTTGACATCGGGATGCGTACGATTTGGAAGTATTTGATAGTTGCGAAGCCAATTCGATGACAATTTCAGTCCGGTTACTTTGTTACTGCTCTTTAAATCAATGAATGTTTCAACGAGAATTTCGCGTGACAAATTGAAAATCACAACCGGACGGCCCGGCTTAACGAATTGTATTAGTGCATTCACAATCGTAATTGGATGTTCCTTGGCCACAATTATCAGAGCGTCCAAGTTTTCTCGCAGTAGTTCACAGCCACGTTCGTTTTCGAATACCCATTTTGGTTGCTTGTCTCCATTCTTAGCCTTTGATTCGGCATCATTTTCGTCATTTTTAACGTCTGCATCATTTTTATCTGTATCAATTGATTCCATTTCCACATCAGTCGCTGCATCGTCAGTTTTTGATACTTTTGCCGGCGGCGGATCGGTTGGATCATCAATAACTTCGTCAAGTTTTCGCTTGCCACCGCCACTCCCTTGATAATACTGTCGCAATAACGAATAGATATTCACCGAGATGCATCGATCCAGATGCTCTTGCTCCAAATTCAACGCTTGCAGCGCCTGTTTTTGTGGCACATTGCCTTGGTGCAAGTGAAGAAGCTTTCCTTCCGTATTTGCTCCGATCGAATTCAATAGAGCCGCTGGCACCAAACCATTCGTGCCTGATTCGTATAGCAAAAAGTTACCCGTTGCGCAGATGTTGGAAAACGCAATCAACTGCGATAGAGAGTCAACACGAAGACCAAGGATCTTTTCCGGATCTTGGCGGTACATTATGTCAGCGATTAGTCGCAAAGTTGGACGACGGATTTGAAGTAGGCTAAAATAAAGTAGAGATAAAGCATAAAACCCTTCTTTTTCTTCGATACATTTCGATTGAATGATTTTACACAGAAAACCAAAGCCAAAAAATGAATGAGTTTTTCCCACTTACTCAAAATACTTCTTCTCCTTCTTCTTCAAGTACTTCTCCTGTGAATATTCCGTTTTGCTGGTGAATGTTTTGGAATTCTCAATGATCGTGCCAACAATTTCCGAAATGCTGGATCCCGATTCGCGTAGCTTCGCAATATCGTCTTGTTTCAGTGCTTGTGTATCGGAGTCCTGGACCAAATTTCGATTGTCTGTACCGCTTTCGGTGATGTTAAGCGATTCTCTTAAGCTGCTAAAGTCCGTGCATGGCTCCAGTTCGATGAATCGCTTCCCAAATTCGGTATTGGGCACCATTTTAAATGTGGTTGAATAAGGATGTCCATCGATATTTTTTAATTTTACTTGATCTTTGCCCAAGCCGGTTTGAGCCGTCAAACTGTTAAATCTGAAGAGTTTTGTGTATTTTTGCCGTTGAATTATGACAAAATGACCCACTTTAATTCGTTCATCATCCATTTTCAACTGATTTTCCTCAATTCCAAGAATTTAAAACGATCAAACCACTTTGTTTACAATCTGGACGAATAAAAATTTCTTTTTTGCCGCAACAAATGACAGCTATCTACACGTGTGTCGCGAGACTGTACCCAGCTCAGAGTTTCCTGTGTGTGTGTCAAAAGAAAAGTGACAGCTCAAACTGTCAAAGTCAAACAGCAGCCAAGTAAGTCGAAAAAGAATATCTCTTCACACACAGCGAACATAAACAAAGTGAGGCTCATTTTTTTGGAAAATTTGCTGTTGATCCAAGGATGGCTCAAGTTCCAACTGGCATTATTACACACGCTCAACGCGTTTGTCGATTATATAAAAAGGCTGTTCGCTTGACTCAATCATGGTACACTCCACGGTATGTGAATTTTTCTCTCTGTCTAGCAAACAATCGATTATGTAAGCCCCGTCAAAACGACATGAAAAATTTAATAATTTTTTTTTCTTCTTCTTCTTCCTTCACAATAAGACATGCTTTCCGTTATCATGCCGTTTTGGTGCGAGAACGATTCGATCAAAATAAAGATATTAAGGACATGCGAACTGCAAGAAAACTAGTGGAAGAAGGTGAAGCTGAGCTGTTTCAAAAAGCACATCCACAGCCGATTGGATGTAAGTATTCGAACTGTCAAAGTCAACTTGAAGAACAAAATTGTTATTTTGATTTTGCGATTCTATTGAGATCTTGAACAAAATTCGAGTTAATTGTTGATTGTGTTCAATTAAAAAAGTAAATTCATCAATTTATTTCAATGTTTTATCGTCTTTCCAAATCTGCAGGGGCAAACAGTCCAGGTGGTTTAGCGTACGGTCGTGAGGTTGAGCTTCCCGATTGGGTTTTAGATTATTGGCATCCATTAGAAAAGGCACAATATCCCGATTACTTTGCTCGCCGTGAACAGCGCAAGAAAGAATATGTTCTTTGGTGGGAGAAACAATACGGCAAATCGCAGCCAAGAGATGATCACCATTAAATTTAAATTTATATCTGGAACTGTTTAATTTTTGCAACCAAAATTAAATAAAAAAAAACTGGGCAAATTATCTAGTGGAAAACATACAAATCGACATTTTTATTTCGACAAATTTATGTGGTTGCAAAAAGGTATAATAAATTTTTGGCAAATTGAAAGATTTCAGTGCCACCAAGTTTCGATTGGCCATAGACACGATCGACAAATGTAATCGGCACTTCACCAATGGTGTAATTCAATTCGCGGGCTCGCACCAGCATCTCCATTTGGAAGACGTAGCCTTTCGAAACGCATTTTGCTATCAGCTTTTCCAAATGGTCCTTTTTGTACAAACGGAATGATCCAGTTAAATCAGAGCAATTGGGCCGTAACAGCAATTGGGATAGAAAATTTGCACCGCGAGAAACTAGCTTTCGCTTGAAATCCCAACCATACACACCACCATTGCCGATGTATCGCGTCCCAGACACAATATCGTAGTCGTGCTCTTTTTGGAGTTCGATGAACTCTGGAATGAATTTTGGCTGGAAAATGGAAAAATCAAGTTATTTTTTTGGGATCAATTAGGCAATCATGTTTTTGTCAACTATAATCGACTTGAACCGTCTAATCGAATGAAAAAATGGACAAATTTGAACTTTACATGATGACTCAAATCGGCATCCATAATAATGATAAAGTTCCCGTTGGCATGTTTGATCCCGTGTATATAAGCCGTTCCCAAGCCGAGTTTAGCTTCGCGTGGTCTCAGCAAAATCTTGTCCTCACCATAAATTGCTTGCAATTGTTTGGCCACATCGAGTGTTCCGTCTGGGCTGCCATCATCAATCACGATTATTTCATAGTTGATTTTACTGTTCAAACAGAAAAAAAAAATGACACACAATCATTATCTAGTCGTTCGTACGTGGCATTCTAAAGTGTATTTTACCTTTGGTCCATGTATTTCACGATCAACCAAATGATAATCGGCAAATTTTCCCGTTCATTGTATGTTGGCAGTAAAATGGAATATTTATCTGCCATTGTGTCGACTAATATGAAAAACTTGTATCGAAATTCAGATGTATTCACTCAGTGGGTGCTTGCTATATTGTTGTCAGCAATTGTGTGTAGCAGCGACACAAACAAAGTCACTGTCTACTAGTGCGTTGAAGTAGTAGAACTGTCAAACATAGATTGTTTTTGTTGTTGTTTTGCGACACCATTCAAAGTGCTATTCCAGTAAAAAAAAATGTAGCGGTGCGATGTAATTAAAGCTTTCTTATCACATTATTTTGGACATTTATCCAACGTACATCTATTTCAATCCTCAAATTGACCATCAAAAATTAATTTATCGTAAATTGCCGCAAATATATCATTCAAATATTATTCAAATATGGGTCTCATGTCTCAACGCACACCTACTCCGAATGGTACGCGCAAACGCGAATTTTTCCATCATAATCATCCATCCCTTTGCCCCAACTGCTATAGAGCAATTTCATTTTCACTCTGCAAACGAGTGTGGTGGCACAAAGGCGAAATCGATTTGGTTTTTGCTTGAATTGCGATGCATATCGCCACATTTTAGCACAGTAAATTTTCTATTTTTATTCCATTAAAAGATGTTGATACGATCAGTCGATGGGAAATTCAGTTAGAAATAATAGTGGTTTGAATTACAAACGGTATTTCGGGAGCAGAAAATGAGAAATTGTTTATGAAAATTGGCAATGTTATAACTGTTTGGTGTGGCTTGTAGCAGATAAACAGAATTGGAGTGGTGAAAAGCCGAATTAGTTGGTTGTTTATTTTTGGCGACTATCCAAAAGTTGGAACGAAAAAGTTTAAATTGTTATATTTTAACATTGAATCATTTTACTATCGTGACATGGCCAAGCGGATACCATTCAGTGTCATTTTTGCTACAGGTACCTAATCTCATAATTGTGTTAATATTTGCCTCTGGAATTGTCTCTTACTTAATTTATTCAACCCATAGCAATCATTTGAATTTTTTCCATAAATAAAAAAGTATATTTAAAAGAAATAAACATCATGGATTTGAAGTCGTAGAATACCGTAAAATCAACACGTATTGTAAATTGTGACGTAGGCCACATTGGTGTCACTTTGTTGTCGAGTAATAAAATTGGGCATTTGTTACTGCAATTACAACTCTTTGTCAAATAGAATTGCATGAATATTGTTCGTGTGGCTACGTCAATTATTAACGTGGCTCTCATGAATAATAAATACATAACCGCATGTGTGCTATGTTTGCCAGCCAATTTCGTATTATAATAATGGAATTGGTGTTTTAAGTTTGCGTTTTAATGGGGATAATTCGATAATATCTTGATTAGCATTTGGTCACGACAAAAAACAGAAAAAACACATTAACCTAAATGAATTCTTCCTCAGACGAAGAACCGGAATACCCGTCGAGTGAGCTGAATAGCCATGGTCCGGCGGTTGTGGGCTGGCGATGTCGACCCAACAGCACATTATCACCCAAGGAAATTATACTACGATTCGAGAAGCCAGCCGTGATTTGTCGCATTCAAGTTTTGGCACACCAATGTATGATCCCCGAACGTATTGAGCTATACGTTCATCATTCGACACGAGGCGCACCAACCACACCATCAAGTCAGACGTATGACTTTCTAGGTTTTATCGCACTGTCCGACAACTCGGCTACTAATTTTAAGTCACGTGAACTACAAAGTGTGCCTGTTGGTCCGAAAAAAGGGACACATTTAAAACTACGATTCGGTTCACCCTATCCAAATGAACTGAATAAATCGAATCAGGTGGGTTGCGAGTCGACAATTTTCATTTTTTTTTTTCATTTGAATTTCGATTTCATGTGAGAGACAGTAACTCATTTTAAAATCAATTTATTTAGTGTTTCATAATGACTAAAATTGATGACAGATCTCATTCGAATGAACTCTCTTTCCATGTTTGTTTTTTTCCCTAATTTTTCCAATTCAACAGGTAGCTTTAATAGCCATAAATGTATTTGGTGAATACCTATCGACGGACAACGCAATGCAGCTCATACAAAGTATGAATAATGAACGCACTGAAACGGCTCTCGCATCGATTTGCGATGACTTATCGTTTTCAATGTATGTTGAAGAAACTATTGTCGAGACGATTCGTGAACTTGAGCAGAAAAAGATCAAGGCTGTCAATGGTAATTGCTCATTTTATTTTCGTATTTCTTTTCGTTGAACAATTCATTGAATTGGATTAACGCCTAATGTTGATATCGATTTTGGATTTAGACGAACGGTTTGAGTACGCACGCAAGTTGAAACTGTGTATGGGTGCCTTACGAAGTGCTGGCGAACGATTGGGTCGATATTCGTTGGCCAAACGTCAAGCCGTCCAGCAAGAGGATTTCATAGCCGCAAAATTGCGCAAGGAGCAAATGGAACTGTATAAGAAAATGGTGTTTGAGCAGCTGCAAGTGAATGTGTTGAAAGAAGCAGATGGCGGAAATCCAGACAATGACTGTGTATCGGATTTGTATACGCAAAAGCCACCATTGCCATCACCACCTAGTCTGCAAGATGTTGCCAGCACACTGTCGAATGATGCAATGTTTACTCCGGTCGCTGCACCATACGCCAGCCCGCAAATGGTGCGACGCGAGAATTCCGATATTAAATCACCAAACACATTGAACGAACACAGACAGTCGCCGATTATTGGAGCCAGTCCCAAGAGAGGCTCACCTAACACGGGATCATTGCGGCGACGCAACAAAAGCGCTCCCCGAAGTACTTTTGAAGACTACGAAGAACGAGCCATACCAGCATTGAGACAGTGAGTTTGATGTCGTTACTTCGATTGTTTGCTCGACTCTCTCTTTCTCTCTCGTAGAAGAGATTGTAGATGTTTTAAAAATATTTCAAATTCAAAATTCTAAACCCGTTGCATCTAAATGTAGTAATTGGCGTAGCAAATCTAGAACATTATACATTGCAGAAAAAAATGAGCATGCTTAGATTAATTGTAACAGTTTGTTGTTCAAATGTGTTCGATGTTGTATTTGCACTTTGCAGTTCACATACTAATGAATTTTTAAGGGAGTGCCAAGGTGCAATGGTTTTAGAGAATGATCCATGTCGGGGACGATCACGATTAAACGAACGAGAGAGGAGACAGGCCGCGCTGCCCATTTTGGTTTTTGGCAATGAGATGGTAAGCATTGATGTTTCATGAATCGACTTTTTCAACTCATACGTTTAAATCATTTTATTATCTCATTTTCAAAGGTGGAGCTCTTCTACTCGCGTCAATTTCAAGACCGCGAAGAAGGTTTGCTTCGACTAACATCAATCTTAAAGGGTGAAGCATCCGACTACTCGATCGGTGTTAATAAAATTTCCCGTAGTGCAACGTTACTACTGCACCGAGCTGTTCGTGATGCAGTGTTCTCTGTTTTTAATCATGCAGCCCAAACGGTTCGTGCTCTATTCATGGATTTCGTACCAAATCGAGTGACACCAAACGAAGTGTCGAGAAATGTTGATCGTTTGTTGCCGGAATTACTTGCAAAAAGTGGCGATCCTTCACCACGCATCCATACATTAGCCCAGCATACTATTTTGTGTATCGCTACATGCCCAGAAGTTCGGTTAGTTGACAACTTATCAGATTCTTACACCATTACGTTCGTTTAGTTTTTCTAAATAAATTTTTTTAATGTTCCATTTCTCTGCCCACAGACAGCAACATTTAGTTGCTCCAGCACTTTCTCGACCAGTTGGCTCAGGAACCCATCCCCGATTGGCGTTAAGTCGGATGCAAATGCTGGAGCAATTAGTATTGAGCCAAGGAATCAGTAGTGATAAACAAAGCGGTTTAACTTGTCGCCTTCTTTCTGAATCGGGTTGTTCTGGGATTCATCATCCAGCTGAGCCTGTACGAAAAGTTGCTGAACGTGTTTTACTCCTCGTATACAAAGTGAATCCACGTCTCGTCCGTAAACTATTGCCTCCGGATGACGATATAACTCGGCGAAATTTACTCTATCGGCAATTATTCACCGAATTCGATAAGATCGACGATGGTAGACGTCGTGAAATGATTTCACACCAAGGCTTCACTCAATCGGGCATTCTTCGCCATGCAACACCACCCCATTCACCGAATATTAGCAATCTATCAACGTCGCAACATGATGGTGATGGTGATAATCGAAAATTCTCATTTAATAACGGCACAAATACAAATTCTGCTGAAAGTACCACTGTAAATAGCCCGCGAAAAACTGCTTCTTATAATCATAGTCCAACCAATAAATCTGCATCCGCTTCTGATAGTAATGAACCCGATCCACAAACTCACAATAGCTCTAAGTCAAGTTCAGAGAGTGAAAATCGATGCCCATTCTGCGATTGGCCGTATAACGATGCCGAACAATTAGATAAACATTATTGGAAAGCTTGTCCCATTCTCACAAAATGTCCACAATGCTCTCAGGTTTTAGAAGTAGCCGCAATTTGCACACATTTAACGGGTAGGGATATATAAGAAACAATCCAATTAAAGATTGAATTCTCTTTTATAATGAAATATATTTGAAATAGAATAATTTTATGAATAAATAATTGAATCGTTCTATTTGCAGAGGAATGCGATGCAAAAATCGGCTATGTTCGATGTGATAGGTGCACAGAAGCTGTTCACAAAAATCTCTTAGATATTCATAAATTGGAGGATTATTGCGTGGAACCTAAACCAAATAACATGAAATGTCCATTGTGTCATGAGGAAGTTGAAGGACCGTCTAACGGTGGATGGAAACATCATTTAGTTGGTTGTGCTGGTACAGCTAGAAGACGTTCTCGAATTTAATGCAACACCACACCAAGATTTTCGGATTATTTCGCAATTGAATAACAACAACAATTTAGAAAAATTACACTTTCTTGCCAACAATTTTATTGTATATTAATAATTCATCTGTTTTGTAACACGTTTGTGGATTACATAAAGCGTCACATTCATTGAATTTAAATAGTGTGGCTTTTATTCAAATTAGAGTTCGGTTTTTAATCAAAGAGTCTCGCTCTCGTGAAAAGATTGAAAGGTATTTCTGTCTACCCTCTTCAAAATGTAATTTGTTTTATCAAAATCGTTTTGTGGTAAAATTTGGTAGCTATATTTAAATTAGAGGCGAAACTGTTATCTGTCCAGACTTCACGATCTGAATCACGTTCCATTGGACGTTGTTGTTCCTGGAATTTCAGCCAAAATTATCCATAATATGGATTTTAAAAAAGAATTTTTTTTCCGCAATGAATTTTTCATGAGTTATTGTCCAAAAAATATCCTCGATAAAAAAAAAAACTTGAGTATTCCAAATTTGCTTGAAGTATCTACAAAGGTAATCGCTTTGATGGAGATGAAAAAAATTCATGTTTTTCTATTTCAAAATAAATTTGAATTATTTCAATGAACTCATTTTCCCCTATAATCATACCGTTCTGCAATAGCGGCCGAAAATGTTTGAATTTGACACTTTACTTGAATGTCAAATCACATTGACAACTGATTTGACAGACCAATGTGCACATGCAATGAGTTTAGGTTTGTTTATGAAATTCGATTTTTGAGCCAATAATCCGAAGATTTCATAATGTTGACCATATTTCGGCGTATCATTTTAATTGAGCCGAATGTTCGTATTTGTTCCCAGTTGCTAAACACACAAATCAGTTTATTCAGTACAAAATACACACCACAAGCGGTTAAACGAAAAAAGAGTAAAGCAAAGGAAGCAACCGTAAGTAGAATGCGATTACCAGAGAGATTTTGTAATTTTCATTCAGCTTGATTTTAAATACTTTTAGAGAGACCATTTTGTGGATCTGAAAAATGTGCGTACAATTGGTGGACGTGGAGGTGATGGCTCCATATCATTTTCACAAGTATGGTGTAACGAAAGAGCAGGTAAGCAGCTAATTTCGTAGTTCAAACAATTGTTCCAATTGAATGCTAAATTTTATTCCTATTTCCAGGTTGTGACGGAGGCGATGCAGGTAATTTACATACAATTCGGATTGATATATAAAGATTTTTATTTAAAACCGTTTATTGTCTTCAGGAAATGGTGGTCACGTAGTATTCGAAGCTACAAACATGGTAAACAATTTGTCACACGTAAAAACCCTGATCAAAGCTGATGACGGAGAAGATGGTCGTAACAAAGATCGACATGGAAAAAGTGGTGGGCATAAAATAGTCAAGGTACCAGTTGGAACAATTGTACGGAATCCAAATAGGAAGGTTGTTGGAGATTTAGACAAAGATGGCTCAATGTTTATAGCGGCAAGAGGCGGTGCCGGTAAGGGATATTTTGATAATTTATCAAGCAAAATGATTGTTAAAGTAACAGTTGTTCTCATTTTATGATGAAAACCGTGTTTATTTGCAGGTGGCAAAGGAAATCACTTCTTTGTTTCTAATAATGAGAAAGCGCCACAAGTTTGCGAATATGGTGCACATGGTGAAGATGCGGCATATATACTTGAAATAAAAAGCATGGCACATTTGGGATTGGTAAGTGGACCGTTTTCACTTTGTGAGAAGTAGAAAAGTCGGCTTTGAATGATTGAATGGCTACTTTCAATAAACCAAAATCCGATTTTCCACATTTTTTCTCTTCAGATCGGTTTCCCAAATGCTGGAAAATCAACACTTTTGCGTGCAATCACACGTGCCCGGCCAAAAGTAGCGCCATACGCTTTCACAACACTTCAGCCCCATTTAGGAATAGTTCATTATGATGATTACGAGCAAGTGAGCATTGCCGATTTGCCGGGTTTGATTCCAGGATCACATGAGAACAGAGGTCTTGGTATTCAGTTTCTGAAACATGCCGAACGTTGCAGTGCACTTTTGTTCATCATTGACTTGTCGTGCGAAGAGCCATGGAAACACTTTGAAAACCTAAAATTTGAGATCGGAATGTTCAGTGAAGAATTGGTCAAGCGGCCACAGATTATCGTTGGCAATAAAATCGATGTGCCTGAGGCGTTGATCAATTTGGAATCCATGAGAGAAATATACCCAGACACACCGATTATACCAATCAGCGCAAAAATGGGTACCAATCTAAATGACCTGCTGACCAATATTCGACGTGTCTACGATAAATACAACAATAATATTGTTGTTGACTTAGATGAAGATTAACAATTGATTGTTATAGAATAATAAAGGATTTTTTTTTCGAATAAGACAAAAATGTATTGTATATTCATGCTTTTTACGTTTTCGTTTTCGTTTGTTTACACAATTATTTTTTTACTTTTTATTTCTATCGTTTTATTTTTCAATATATTTTTTTGTGTTAATTAATCAAATTATATCGTACTTAAACGAGATGATAGTTATTAAAACTTATTGTGGTAGTTCTTCTGGGTTCGGCAACCAGAATGCCATGTTTGTGCACGCACTTGCCAGCATCATGTACTTCGGATTGAACTGAACACATTGAACCGCAGACGGATGATCACCGTTTAGTGCACAGATTTTGTAGCCCGTATCTGCGTTCCACACGTGCACACGACCATCAACGCTACCAGCAAAAATGAATTGTGAATCGGGACTGTACGATGCCTCGATTGGGAGCTTCTTGTTGTTTGAATGACCTTGAAAATTAAACGAAATTGTCAGAAATTTGATGTAAAATTGTCGAAAAGTCGAAAAGTCGAAAAAAAAATGAAAAAAAAACGAAAGTAACCAAACAAATCACAAAATAACCCTAAACCATTTTATATATTGTCTAAATTCGCCCTTACCGGTAAATGTTTGTAGCGGTGTGCCATGAAAGGCGTCAACCAATCGAATAAACTGGCCATCGGTGCTGATCAGAATGGTTTTTCCATCTCGGGAGAACTTCAATCCGGTCCATTCGCATTCACGTTCTTGATTCAATTTGAATGTCACAAACGGCCCTTTGTCGAATGACCGTAAATCATACAATTTGATGCTTTCCGAATTGACGCCGGCGGCAAAAATCAATCCTTCGGGATCGTAAGCAGCAATTGGACGGCCCGACAAATGCATGACACCTTGACAGTTAGGCGAACGTAAATCCCACAAACGTAGCGTCTTATCCATCGATCCGGACAAAAATGAGTCTTCAACGGGTGAAATGCACAATGAGATCACCTTCTTTGTGTGGCCGGGAAAATAGCGCAAGTATTTGTTGTCGTGCAATGATAGGTAACGAATTGCATCGTCCACTTTGGTCGAACTGTGGATTGCTGTGTTCTGACTGTGTGTGAAATGAATCAAATCAACGCCATACTTTTTCGAATTGACGGTTCGCGTTTGGGTGCCTTTATCACAATCGTAAATAACAATTTGATCGTCTTCACTGCATGAAATCAAGTGTTCACCATTTGCCGAAAAGTCGATGGCATTTATTTTGTCGGTGTTCTCGCGAAACACTTTGGCAACGCGAAAGCTACGCACCACCTGATCGGCTAGCTTCATTTTCACTTTACCGTCAACGGTGCCGGGCCGTGACGTCTGATGATGATAGTCAGCTATTTTGACGGTTTTATTTTGCTGATGCTAACAAAAAAAAGGTCGATTCAGATCGTAATTTGCGATTAATTTATTCGATTTGGATGTTTAGCGTATTTTGTGCACGGCGTTTGTACAGCGTTCTCAGTGTTGTATTACCACAACGTTTGACGTTTTAGCGGCATTCTCATATATCCACTGCATATACTCAAGCCGATGTACTTAAGTGTCATAACCAAAAACTGGTATACATCATAGTTGAAGTATCAACTATACTTTGTGATGGGATATAGATGTTTTTTTTTTCATTTGAAATTCGAAATTTGAACGGAAAAAACCCAATCGAATTTTATTCGATGCTTCTATGAATGAAATTGATAGTTAAATGACCTAAATTATACCACTCAATATGCTTAATGTGGAATGTTTATGATTTTTCCCTCTGTTCTTAAGTACAATGAACACCGGCAACGGTATAACAACACTAACATAAAATTTGTTTTTTTTTTCCTATTTTAAATCAACAAAATTGTGGCTTTATTATGTACAATGTACATGCTTCAAGCATAAATTCGGAATACTGGACAAATTTCTTTGTAAACCGAGGATTGTTTTTATTGAACAAAAATGATTTTCCTCATCAAAAATCATTGTGAAAAAGAATTTATTTTTTGAAATCCAGAGTACGGATGACTTTTGCTGGATTACCAGCAACAACAACGTCCGATGGAACGTCTTTAGTGACAACGGATCGAGCACCAACCACAACGTTATCACCAATCGTGACACCTGGACAAATAATGGCGTTTCCACCGATCCAAACATTGTTGCCGATTTTCACCGGGAATGCCAATTCATAGTACTCGTCGTCATCTTTACGGTATTTTGGATTGAGTGGATGAGTAGCAGCGTAGATTTGAACACCTGGTGCCAATAAACTTAACGAAAATTATTATAATTAATTTTAAATTTCTTTTGCATATAAAGTAATTAATACTAAAAGTAAATAAGATTGAATAATAGCCACCAGTTATCGCCTATTGTTATCGGCGCACAATCGAGGAACACACAGTTGAAATTGGCTTCCACATTGTTTCCAAGTGTTAAATTGTAGCCATAATCCACACGAAACGGTACTTCAATGAAAATTTTCTTGTCACGACAAGCTGGGTTTAGGAGTTCC